TACATTTATCGTCACAAAAAACAAAACTGTAGAGCTACTACAAAAATTCTAAATTATTATGAAAAACAAAATCTTTCATTACTAGCAAATTCATTTCAAGAATCATTCTCTAGAATACTATCATTCAAAATTTCAGATTAATAGATCTCCCTTTCGAACAGTACAAATAAACAGACCTTTAAAACCGTGATATATGGTCATGACTTTAATTGTATAAAACTCAAAAATCTGACCAAAATCTCATGAGCTCGCAGCAATTCAAGATTAAATCAAATTTCATGATTATATTGATATAAGGCTTAGAAATAATAACATTAATCCTGGGAGAGAAAGATTTTGCGCAGGTTTTAGTTTATGCTCACGCATGAGAAAAAGATATAATTGTCGGATTAATCCGAATCATTCTCCAGTAGCAACTCAATTTTTCGTGAAGGCATTTTATAGATGATAGAATCTGATGTTATATGACTCATAAATCTCCAACAGGCTTATTTGAAGGAGTGACAAAAAAGTTTAAGAAAAAATACTAAAAATACTAATGACCTTGGGCTGAATTTTTATCCAGAAAACTAGACAGATTGAAAGACATATTGCATGATGCCAAATATTGCGAAAATCGCTGCAAAACAAAGTAACAATTAAATAATATACAAAATTTACATAAATAAAAGACGTAATAACTTTTATATTCAAATTACCGTAATACTACAAAATCTTTGCCCCAATAATAGATTTAAGACATCTTCAAGCTCAGCCTATCTCAGACCATTGCAAAAAATGATCATTTGAATGGAAACACATGACTCATAAATAAATTATTTATTCCAATTATCGAATTAATAAATTAAATTAATAATTTGAACCAAATTAATAAATTATTATATAATAAAATGTTTGAATAAATTCAAGAATAAATTATAATTTTCAAAGAAACCGGAAGAAAAAAACGTGGACAACTTAAGAAATTACTTCATTTCCATAACACATTATATTGTGAATAGTGATAAGCGCCTTGTAAACGACTGTCCAGTTCGGATTTTGAGTTCTTTCAATCAACAAATTTGCCATTGATGGAATGGATACGTTTGGTTCTTGCGTGCAATGCAGCAAATCTTTAAAAAAGCATCTTTGTTTGTTTTATAATCTAGTCAGACATGAACCATCACATTAAAAATAAATTTGCAACGAATTACTTGCTTTTCAGATACTGAGAAAAATCTCCAGTTTGATTGTAGAAAATCTCAAGTCGTTTACGTAAATAATAAAACCAACGGACACAAAGATCTTTGTGTTCAAATTATTTGATTTTAAATGATACTAATTATAAGAAACTCAATATCCACTACCGCAACTCACTAGCACAAATTTTATGACTACCAAAAAAGAGTGAACAAAAAACTATTTCTGAAATAAGCTGTTTCGTGCGCACGCAAAAACTCGAAAGAGATTTGCTACTGCTCTTCCATCAATATAAATGCAATGTGGTGATGCATTAAAAGATTTTGAAAATGGCATTTTAGAAGTAATACGTTGAAAATTGTGAATGAAAGATAATTAATAGAATACAAACAATCTAAGTGCTTCTTCTTCGGCGCCATAACCTCTTCCGTAGTAGCCTTACAAATTGTCTTGCCCAGTTGACTGCCAGCCAAAGAATGCTTTGCTGCAGTAAGTCGATCAGTAATTGTTTGTCCACCTGTAGTGAACGGCATCGGTTGATGCAAAGCCTTTTCGATTGTTTGCATCTTATTTTGTCAGTAAAGTGCTGAAATGAAACAGTTTATACGGAAAGTGGAAAAAATAACTGGAAAGTCACTTCTGAATTCAACGCAGCAATCACCAAAGGAAAACAAAGCAAACAATACATTTCAGAAGAGAAGTGTGTAAATCAAATATCAAATTGCAAGAGCAAACATGGTGGAATATATAAACTATACGCGATGGAAATTTGAGTCTCAAGTAGCAGTTATTACTTTCATATGACGCATACACGTCAAATAAATCCAGACTGTGAATGACGTAACAATACGATGACTTGTAAAGGTATGAATCATTACATGAAAGACAACAATGCAAGGTTTGAACCATTGAACAGAAT